CCAATTTCTACTGTTCTATATGTGGATATCTGCAATACATATTGGTGAAAAATTCCATACAGCAGATTTACCTTACTATTCATCAGCACACAGCAGGTTAAGAATAAACAAAAACTAACATGTATTTGCTAGAAAAAGAAAAATTATGTATGCTAGCAACAACTGTACTGGGTTAAAGCAGGTATCCACATTTACAAGCAAAATTTCTATATACATGCATTATTTTTTCAAATTAAGTCAAGGGTTTTTAATATGTTGGTTTACAGATCTGCTGACCCATTTTTTTCTGATTTGCAGAAAGCGGTGAAAAATTGTTATTTTTATGTTATTTTTATTCCCACCAAATCTATAGCTACCAAATATATTTTCCCTGAAATATAAATCTGTGTAGTAGCATTTAACTTAAATTATGTGCATTATTGTAATAAATAGAAAGATGACACATCGACGGTTGTGTTTAATAAAAACCTCAAATGCATGTGTGAATTCTAAAAATAGGCAATCATTATCTATGTCCAAACTGGAAAAATGTTCTGTAAAAAGTGACTGCCCCTCATTTGTAAGCCTCCTCATGGGGTTTTTGATTATGTGATAACTTGGACATTTTTATAGTGATTATTTGATTACCAGACCAAATATTTCATGATTATTTGATTATTTGATAATCTAGGACTGTATTTTTGATTATTTGGTTATCGTGTTTAAAAAAATAATTAATGATTATGTGATTATATTGGCAAAAAATTTGTGGTTATGTGATTACTTGGACACCCCCATGAGGGGCCTCATTTGTATATCAAATGCAGGGTTAAATGGCAAAAAAGTACAAAGCCAATATCCCAATCTGTCACATTGGATGGGTCTACTTCGCGAGTGGTAAACTACATTTTTCTTGTTTTCAATTTCATTTCACATGCTTTCCTGTATGACATGTATGAAGCTCATTATTCACCATGTTTCTGGAAAATTGATAGAAAGCAACATTTAAGCTATTTTTCATTCATTGTGAAATGACCATTTATGTCCCATTTGTAAGTGCTCACAACCCCCTTTTTACGAATTTATGTGAGATGACATGCATTGTATATTTAAAACAGCAGGGAAAAAATGTTTGGCACTAAAATTACACAAATATTGTAATAAGGCTGTAATTATATACATCATGTACATGTTTGTGTGTTGCAAAAAAGATTTTTACATTTTTTTTCAACCAACCGACCCGAATGTTTCACATCAAATATCTGTAAACCAACAAATTAAAAAACCCTGGCATAAAGATACTTGTTCCAGCCCTAGTCCAGATTATCATGACATTATATACAATTATATTTCCCTTTGAATCCATTTCTGTCCTATGTGTCTTCAGAGTTATGATTCCATGCCATTCCTCTCAATGGAGCAAAATCTAATTAGTAATTTAAAAGGAATAAAGTGGTTTATGCCCTTAACATAATACAGTACCTTGAAATCACCAAAAAGAGCTCTTTATTTCCTGAAAGTTCTATTTTATATGGTATCATACCAGTAATTTTGATAACAAGACTATAATATATGTCATTTTTACTCAAAGTACATTTCAAATTCAGAAATACAATTGTTGTGTCTTGAACATGTATGCAAATTCCTTGAATAACAATATGCCAAAGTTTATACCAATAACTATGCCCACCATATTGTTATATTTAAACTAAAAATTGGCAAGCAGATCTGTATATATTGACTTTTAAAATTTTTGTTTTTCTCAGAATTTTTAAAAACTATAAGGAAAAATTTAATTATCTATCTGTTATGGTAAATTCATACCTTTAGACTTAAGTATAAAATTGAAAACATTATACAACTTTCAGTACATGTCTTTTTCATTGCCAGACACAGTGGAATGTACCTTTTCAGCCTTTTGTGTACAAAACCTTGGATGAATCCCAACCAAACAGAAATTGCTTTGAAATGAAAAGTTCTTAATTTTAAAAAAAATATAATGTAAAAATTAAAATATAATAACATCATTTAAGTTTAAAAGCTTGTCATAACAATTTACAAGTGTGTATACAAATTATACTGATAAATTGAAACACGATTGTGTTTGCTTTGATCTATTTTATTCAACTTTTATAAGAGATTTATCCATTAGATTTCTCATTCATTTGATATTTTAGTTCAAACTAACTTACATATTGACCATGACATCACTGAGAATCAGTGAGGAAATAATACCCCAACAGGTAAAATTATGTTTATGACTTTCTGACAAAGACTTTATGTACCTGTATTAGAACTGACCACATGAATGTTGATGAGTCAGAACATTTTGGTTACTGCACCCACTCAACCTCCTGGCCATGATTTTTTTTCAAAATATTTATGATGTAAATTTAGGCTACTGTGATAGTTTAGTTACAGAAAAGAGGAAAAAATTGTGTCTAAATGTGATGATTTTTATTTTGAAAAGATGTGAAAAATATTTATAAATACTATTCAATTCTATAGGAATGCCTGGTATAATATATCTGTCTGTCATTTGTCCAGAGGACTTCTCAGGTATAGAAATAAATAATGCATGATTTTCTATTTTATTAAGCACTATATTATACAAAAACTGTCCTCTAATAATCTCAAGTTCATTATTTTCTGTCATTGTACGAAAAAAATCCATTTTGTCTTTCAGAAATGGTGATATTTATCCGCAAAATGAGTTAATGAAGGAATTTGATCCAATAAAGAAAATTTTGAATTGAATTACAACTTGGCCTTCAATACATTAAAAATATTAGATGATAAAGCATAGCATTAGGTAAATGGTAATATAACATACCACTTCATTGGTTAAACATAAAGAGTAGACTTCTTGTTGACAAAAATTCATTTAAGTGAAAATATTTCTTGCATAAATGCACTTGATAGTATAAACACCCTAAAATTATTGTTGTGTAACTTCAGTAACATATATTTTTTTAATCCCCATCAGCTGTTTTTTTTCTGTATAATTTACCAATATATATTTATGATATTGTGTTTTTCCACAAGTAAATACTTTTGTACATTTGTCATTCTTTGATATTTTTGTTGACATCTATTTTAGTTTGTTATGAAATTTGTCGACATATTTTGTATTTTAACTTTTAATTTCTAAAAATTATTTTTATTTGACTTTTCATTAAAATATCTTAACTGTTTTTGAGATCATTTAATAAAAGCAAGGATTTGTATAGTCAGATCTATACAAATCCTTGAAAAAAGCAAAATAAAATTTCTATGATTAGTCAACCAACTATAGAGGGGAGATAACTCAAAATAAATTAAACACTTTCACACCTTTGTCATATAATTTGCTTCATTGATTTTTTAGTTAATCCCTAGAGGCTGTTAACTCATTGAACTGTCCAGTCCAGGTGATTGTCCATACATAATAAAGATTTATTATCCCCAGGTATTGAAAATTGATCAAGCATTACTTGTATAGGTGCTCATTTGAACAGGTAATCTCAAAATCATTATGGTCAGTTTGGACTTTGTTTGATGTTGGAGTGTGTAAATAATGAAATGTCATGCATACAATTTAGCCAGAAAGTGATTTATTGAAATGAACTTTTAATCTTAGAAATTGTGCTATAATATCCACCATGAAATGGTCTGTATTATCAGGTATGTGCTATTTTAAAATTTCTGTTATCTAGACATTAGAATTTATGAGAAAATATATTTCATTTTTTGATCAATTGTTGTGTGCTTAGTGTCTTTAACTTTATGATAATGCACTTAAATAAGGAGTCAATGCTCCGAATTTAAGTTATGGGATACATCATAATAAATAAATATTGGTAAAGTTGGTTAAGTTACATCAAGCTTAAATATCTTACAGCAGAAAAATCAAGATTTTCAACATTTTTTAAAAGGAATATGGAAGTTTCACATGTATAATTTTACATTGTTTCATTATCTCTTACTTCATGGACTGACTTTTCAATTGGTTAAAGGTACACTGTACTAATTTGTTTATATTCTTCGAATGCTTTACTAAAAAAAAACATCCTTTATTTATGTGGTACTAATCAGTAGTGTAGTAGTGTGAAAGTAAAGAACATTATGACATAAACCAAACTGGTTACAATGTCAATGTACAATGTCTATTTGTTGTGCCTAACAGAAGTTCCTCTGGAATCTTTTTAACAAATATTCTATACCTTTATTCCATTAGGAACAAATACTGTAATATTTGTTCCAGTGGAAATTATATTCCAGAATGTTTCTTCTGTCTGGAACTAATGATATGAAGGAACTTCTATTTCATGACAACAATAGGAAATTAAATGCTACATGTATTTCCTCTTTTACTGTATGGACTCCCCTTAAGGCTCTTGTTCAAGTCAAGTGGATTTAGAACATGATGGTTCCATTGGAAAATTTTGATAGAGGACCAGAAATCAGAACCTTGATTTTGATGAAATTAAAGAAATGGAAAAAATTATGTTTTTGATTTTCAAAATTTGTTATACATGTATGTACATTTTTTGAACACTATAAGCATGATAAGTGATCAGATCTGAACATTCTGTTAAACATGTATGTACATTTTTTGAACACTATACATAAGTGATCAGATCTGAACATTTGATTATGCACATTATCGTTAACCTGATCTCATGTATATTTGAAGTCATACATAGGTCAATTTTCAACATTACATTTCAGCTTTAACATATTACCAATTTAACTTCATGGTCTATTCTACAACTCCGATTCTGTTATCTCCATATTTATAGCTTGTCATATTTGTCCTGAAGACATATTTCTAAAATTAGAGGTAAAATAACTATTTTCGGACTCCAGCAAAATACATCAATTTGCCCTTTAGTTTAATAAGACTTGGTATTATTTATAACAAGACTGATACTGAAGTTTAAACTGTTACCGAATTTTAAACCAGGCAACGATTGCATGTTCACATTGGTGTCAACTGTCGATCAGCTGTTCAAGGAGATTCACTTGACTGAGCATGTATATAAAAAGAGACTTTAACTTTTCATGTTACCAGACCGATTGTTGGTCTCTTTGGTCCAGTTCTAGGGGAATATTGTGTGAAAAGGTCTAATAGATAACTTTTTGATGAAGTTTTGATTAATTTTTGGGAAACAAAATTTCAAAAAAGGTAAATACAGTAGTTATTCAGTTATTTCAAGTGGATGGATTTTTTTTTTTGAGACAGAACAGAGTTCATTCAAACATTAGCTAATGTGCAGGACTGGTGATAAAGATACATTTGCTCTTTATTTGGAAAATTCAAAGAAAGCAACTATTTTTATTTATAAAGATATAAAATATCATTCTTTGTAATATTAAGTATTTGGCATTAAGAGTTTTGTAAATGAGGCCATTTGAAAGCAATTGTCAAGTTTTTATTTTCAGGTTTAATTTTTTACCAATTTTTTTTTCTTTTTCCGATTTATTCATGAAAATGCAGGATTTCTTTATTATTGACATAAGTCTTGCACAGCTGGCATTAAGCACATACAGTGAAAAAAAAGAAGTAAATTTGATATTGTCAAGTAATTGAAACAAGTTTGTAATCTTATCAGATACTTTATAATCCTAGATTAATTAGGGATAATTTGATTAAGACTTTTGTTATTGTATTCAGAGCAATAATTCTTCAAAAGGACATGTCTAACCTTCTGACACCAACCTGTATATCAGTAGATGTGATGTATATATTTTGTCCTGTACATGTGTGTTGACAATGTTGTGACAACAAGAAGAAGATTAAATTTGTCTGAGACCATTTTGTTTAGTCAGCAGAGTTTTTAATCTAATGGTCAAATATTTTGCTATAGACATCAGTATAGTCAAACTAGTATTTATATGGTATGATTTCATTGTATATAGATCTTGATTCATTTATCATGTTTATGCATGTTGGTGTTCTTAGAAATGCCATAAGAAGATAAATTACTTGACTTTCATTTTACAATTGAGTTTTTCAATTCTGGGCACCTGATTTTTTTTAAAAATTATTAGTAATAAGAGTTTTTGTTTCTTTATGGTAATTATTCATAACAAGTTGCTGTACCATTACATTAGCATTGATGTACTGGAACCCTAAGGTCATCATAATAGATATTATACTAAATTAAAAGCAATCATGATCAAACTATCATGACTGCAATATTTATATTGCTGCAAAGTCCATTAAAATTAAAGAATCTTTGCCCTAGTTCTAACCATCTAAGAGAATTGTATAGAAATACAGAGATCTGGTATGATAGCCAATGATACAATCACCCCCAAGAGTACAATTGACATTGATGCAAGCAACTGTAGGTCACTGTGCAACCTTCAACAATGATCAAAACCCATACCTTTTATGAAGCATTTGTTTAAGTTATATTAAACTATTTGGTTAACAATTTTGTTACAGTTACAAATTACTTAAACATGTAAACATTTGTATATACCAGAATAAACATGATAAATCCAGTAGCAAGTAGGCTTGACGAACAGGAAACTATCAGAGAGGGATGTTGTAAATTTAACAAAAAAGATGTGTAATTGGATTGTCTATTTTAGACAATCTTGTCAAAAAGATAAATTTTGTCTTGTATGTATCAAATGTGGAAATGGGTTTGTTGACCTTGCATCAGACTTGTGTCACATTTCAGTGTTTAAGTTTATTTTGATACTGAACTTTGTAAAGACGAAAAGATGTTGAAGAAAATATGATGTATTAATAATTTAGTTAATAGATTTATTATGTTTTTCATATTAATATAAAACATGTAATTTAAATTTTGTATGTTGAAATATAACGGGAAGTAAAATTTGTAGAAGTAATGTACTTTTGGTCTGATTTTGGTCTAACCCTTATTGCAAAAAATATTTTTTAAGTTTAAGCCAAGTCTAGAATATAGATAAGATAGCACTTGGGTATAAAAATGAGTCCATGTACATTATGATTAAAGCTTATACACATTGAGGGTAAGTGATCAAACCTAATTGTAACTAGTACAAGGAATAAGCAGAATAAGCATATATACATTATAGATTATCATAATGTAAACACATATTCTGTATTATGAAGGACCAGCAGAAAATTTATCAATTGGTCCTTCAGGCCTCTGCTTATTTTTTTTTTTTGAATTCTGTCAGTTATTAAATCATATGTTCTTTATTTGGTAAATCTCTTATTTGTTAGCTACCTGAGGTGAGCTTTTCTCATCACTTGGTGTCCGTCGGCTTCCGTTAAACTTTTACAAAAATCTTCTCCTCTGAAACTACCAGGCCAAATCTAATCAAACTTTGCCACAATCATCTTTGGGGTTTTTAGTTTTAAAAATGTGTCCGATGTCCCGCCTGCCAACCAAGATGTCCGACATGGCTAAAAATAGAACATAGGGGTAAAATACAAGTTTTTGTCTATTATATTGAAAACCGCTATAAATAGAGAAAATACAACAAGGCAGAAATGTTCAGAATGTTGAGTTCTACCAATTGTACATTTAAGTCAAAACTGTCAGGTGACTTCTAATAGGAGTTATTGCCCTTAAATTTTACCCTTTGATGAAGATTTTAACAATTTTTTTTGCTTTTTTGCCTTATATCTTTAAAATTAGAATATAAAAATAGAAAATTAAAATAACAAAAATGATCAGCAAGGTAAGATCTATAAAGAAGTCAAATTTTCACCCTCTTTTGTGTTTTGAGCAAAAACTAAAAGAAGATAGAGAGAAACTAAACAGACAAAATGATCAGCAATACAAGATCAGCAAAACAGAGATATTTGTCATGAATTCTATTCTTGACTACAATGTTGGAGAGTGTCCTTTGTTGAATATGCACATAGACCTAGGTGAGGGACACAGGCTCTTTCGATCCTCTAGTTTTTAATTTTTGAAGAGTTTCAAATGTTTCCCAAATGTTTTAATGGCAATGACTAAATAGTTGAAATAAATTTATTTGTTTATTTGAAAGGAGTTTTGAAGAAAATTTTATTAGTTATAAACCATGTCACATTGAAAGTGAGAGGGTAAGAGAAAAATTTGCTGAGCAAAGATATAATTGAGTAAACATGGTAAATAAGTAAAACTTTATAGAACTGTTATAATAAAGATTTGAATTCAAAACATGTCCATGTCAAATTGAAGAGCAATTATTTTATCCTGATAATAAGTCGTAAATATCTTACATGATATTATGTAAAAAGTCATAAAGTTGTGACTTGTATGTAATAAATACATGTATTACACAGGTTGTCTGCTAACACCTTTTAGTGTGTTGGCGTCATAAATACAACTTTTGGTCGGGCGAACTGCTGATCAGTATATTTTGATGGAATGATTTATGTTGTGATGTGGTAAAATATAAATTCACATGCACACATTGTAAAAGGTCATGATATAATTCAGAGTAAGAATAGTCTGTGAAGATTTCCTGACTGTCCAATGATAATATTGATGAGTCATATTAGCATTGCAGTTGTAGAGGATGAAGGATGATAAGTCTGTACACTGTCCTTATATTTTGAAAATGGCAGGACATTCAAAAACGTATGAATTTATTTTGTAATGATTCCTTCTAGTCTTTATAAAAATAAGGAGATGTGGTATGATTGCCATTGAAACACTATCCACCAAAGTTCAAATGAAGTGAATGTAAGTTGATTCAACTATCTAATTGAAAACAAAATGTTGCAGTTTTTGGAAATTTGATAAAAAGTCTGGGAAATTCCAAAAAATGCTTACTAGGCACTTCCTGTTCTAAATTGTCCATTTATTGGAGTTGACAGATGTGGGTTGTACAATAGATATGCAGTTTTTGGTTTACATACACAATGTTTGAATACTTGATTATTTTCTTTTGTAGGACTTGTAGACATTTACCAGATTTAAATGAGGCCCAAACTTTCCAACACGATGAAGGAGCGTAGGCTGTCTGCTTCACTCTCCCTAGAGAATCTTATTATGGATTTTGAAAACCCGTTCACCCCTATTCAGAAGAACTACAATAATGCTATTCTACGACAATCTCATGCCAAACAATTGTTGGTTGGTGTTACATCATTTGAGATATATCGTAACAGAGTACCAAAGAAAGTGAAATTATTGGATGTCAAGTTATCATTCTCATACCAAGATAACTACCAAACTGAAACAGATCTGTTGGAGAAAGAACTTGTCCGTAAAGGCAAGAAATGGAATTGGCCATTACAAAAGGGACAGAATCACATTATAACATTCCCATATGCTCCTGGGGATCGTGTCAATCTAAATTTTGGCATGACTGTATTTAAGACAAAGAAAATGAGCGTGTTTAGCTCTGAGACTTTAACATCACCTGTGGGAAATGTTACTGACTGTTTTGTCCTCGCCAAAAATAATGGAGTTGGAATTGGACTTCCAATCGACACTGTGATCACAAATCATGTTAGACTGAACTTCAGTTTAGATGGTTATGCTCATCACATGACCATCAAACTAAAACTTGGTTTGATTGAAGAAAGTAGCGGAAATCCATCACTGTGGCTGCGACCAATCTCTATAGACAAACCTTTCAGAAGTTCACAGACTTTATTGGAAATGTTAGGTGATCCAACTACCTTTCCTCCAATGTCAAAAGGCAGTGCAGAAGAATTGGTGAAACACAGAAGCTTTATAGCCAGCTCACAGAAGTAAGCTTCAATTTAAAACTGAATTAGTATTTCTTTTAGACGATACATATTCGTTACAAAATTTAAGAAATAATAATATAATTACAATATCTAAATCAAAGGTAAGCCAGATTTTTTATTACAAATATGAATCAAATGTTTTGAGCTGTTCTAGTTATAAGTTTCAATTATCCGCTAGCATCAAAGTAGTGGATAGATCACAGCTACATGTACAATTCATCTACCTATAACACTGTATATCTAGGCCACTATTGCAACAAGTCTTCATCAGACTGCATTGTATGTCCACTTTTAGGATTTTGGTTTGCATGATCCCTTTTTAATTTCCAAGTTAGACACCAAGGTCACGCATTGACCCAAGTGATTTAAACTCGTCCAAAATCTAGAGCATTAGTCCTGCATTATATATTCTTCTAATTTGTCTCCAGTCTGTTTGTCCATGAAGAAAGCTTGAAGCTTATTTTATTCAAGGTCAAATACCAACATGAAAGTAACAACATACTGTAATATGGGAGATAATCAGATTAAAACATGGGTAGTTTTGGGTACCCTGGAGCTCTTGTCTGAAATTTAGTTTCTTTCCAAAATCATCCATGCTATGTCATTGGAAAAACTTAAACTTAATTGATTTCAAGGTCATATATATCTGACATCAAGATTACCCAAAAATATAGAAAAAAATACCATTTGAATTATGTTTGATTGTTATGGGCACTCTGCTTTTTAGGTTTTAGTGGTATTTAACATTGTCCCTTTTAACTCATTCTATCAGATAAGGCTAAATTGATTGGTTCTTTTATATAAGTCTGACAATAAGATTTAGATATGTTTGAAACTTGGTTTGAATTCTTGTTTCAGGAAGAGATTTCTTTTCTTGGATATGGCATTAATTTTTGAATACTGTAAATTCAGAATTTATTGCATGCATTTAACATAAATGTTTAATTTTGTGATTTTTTCGGGAATGGAAAAAAATGTGAGATGAATTTTTGCAATTTCAGGAAAATCTGCATTACAGATATATGTATCAGATATTAGAATGAGAGTTCTTATTATTGTGATAATCACCAAGTCACATTATTCACATTAATAAAACCTTGCAATAACTTCTTAAATAATTACCATTTCTAATATTTTTAGACTTGACCATCATATATACTAAAATCTTGGTTTTCCATAAGATCTTCTAGCACAAATTAAACCATGTATCTATTATTTTTTTTTATCAGAATGGTGAACTATTTAAGATCAGGTGTTTTGGATTGTTGGTCTGTACGACCATGCTCAGGCGCTTCAGAACTGCCGTCCGGTATCCAGATCAGAATGGCCACCTCTAACAAACCAATAGCCTGTATACTTCCTGTCGTGGAAAGATTGGAAACTCTGCCAGATGTATGTAAACACTTGATTTAAAATTTGAGTATAAAAAGCTTGAAATATATTCTACTTGCATAGAACATTGTTTGTTTACAATAGAAAATGAGGTTGCAATTTTTGCAGAGAAATATGAATAGTATGCAACAGGTTAAGAATGATCAACTTTCAAAGTTAGTGCATAACCTGTAATGATCCTGCTTAATAACCCCTGTACCTAAATACTTCACAATATTTCATGATTTGAAAATTATTATAATTTCGTATGTATGTATATCAAAATCTACATGACAAAGGTCAATATACATTTCAAAGATTGAAAAATGAGATGCTTGCATCAGATAACAACAGAAGGATCTTTAAATATCCATCTTACCAAGAAAAAACTTAACTTTCAGTCTTTAGGTCATAGACTTGAAAACATAAAACCATTTTAATGGTGGTTTAATTTGGGGTTTTCATATTCATTCTATTTTTGTGTACTATTAGATGGGGAGTATTGATGTTCATTTGATGGGTAGAATTACTGGCAGACTGTTGGATAAGAATGTAGACTTGACACTTGGTGAAGATGATCATCAAGGCCATGTCCCAAATACAAGCATATAAAATGAATAGAAATGTACTAGAAGTAACACAATAGAAGTCATTTAAAGGGGATCATTTGAAGGTAAAACATAATTGGCGGGTCATCAAAAAAAATATTAATAATAAAAAAGGTGCCATGTTAATAAAAAAATATAATATCTAATTCCGAAAATATCATCCATTTAATTGTTTAAAAAAAGTTTTGTTTGTAAAAATGTTAGAACTGTTGACCCTTCAGGTCCATGCTTCAAATAAATTTATTTATCATTTAATTCCATTTATGACAGAGTTGCAAGTTTAATTTTCATGCTCTGAATATTTTCTATACATCACTTATATAATCCTCTTGGATAGAATGGACACGTTCTAAAGTGGTCATTTAAATTATTTAATATCTGTTGATATAACTGCTGAACTGAAGAAGGTCCTTTCTTGTCAGTACACAAATGTGAGGGCTTTTATTCAATATATCAATTTTACTACTGAATGTGTATTTACAAATACTTAGATCTATGTGTTTTACGCTACTGTAAACTAAATTTTAGACATAATTTTGTCTTTTTATTGTGCTTAGGATAAAAACAGTCTTGGAGACTTTGTAAAAAGTTCCTATACATTTGTAGCATACACTAAAATATGTAGTATACACATTTGTAGCTAGCACACAATAATGTACAATGTATTTATTCACAACTAATCATTATACATTTTTTTCAATGTATGATAATGAATATTTTATCTTTTTCTGTCATATTCGATGGTAAGAAATGAAGCATAACACTAGAAAGCATAACAATAGATGGCCCATGGCAATGAAAATAAGGATTTAAAATGAACTTGTGACCAGTGACCTATAGTTGTTGACCTTCGAGTTCTATGTCATTTGGTCTCTGGTGAGAGTTGTCTCATTGGCAGTCATAAAACATCTTTTTATTTTTATATTGTTATAAATGTCTTCTTCTGTACAAGTGTACATTGTAGATAGGTTGTAACACTGTAGGGACCTGGGTATTAATGTAATTGATATATTTGCTAACAAACGACATGAATGAACAAAAAGGAAAACACGCTGTGGGATACAAATTATGGGTAAATGATACAATCAAAATTTGAGATATATACTACTAGGGGTGTTTTAACAACCTTGACCCACTCCAAAGCCATCCATGCTTAATCAGAACAAAAGATATAAAGACAGTGTAAGAACATTAATCTTTTGGTCTGAAGTTGACCTTTCTAAAAATAATCATCACACCAAAGGCACTTTTTCGTTATTACAAATGTATTCATCTGTGAATTGATGATCATTGATAATTTTGTAAGTAAAGGTACAATTATTACGCTAAAAACGTGTTGTCCATTAAATTACTCTTGGTCCAGTTTCCTATGCCTAAAGTTTTTCTGGTTTAGATAATTGTAGGGCTAGGAATCATTCTAATTTATAGGCTGAATAGACTCAATGGTCAGTTATCTGATTAGAAAATATGATGGCCTGAATAATGCAATGCATATTAAATACTTAGTATTAAATAGACAGAAAAGAATGTTCTAATTTATGGACAAGTGTACCCCATCTTATAAGCATGGTTAACTAGAATTTAATATCTAACCTTTTAGGTATATAAATCTAATTTTAATTACCATATTTAGAGAAATTTACACTTAAATGAGAAGATTGATATACATGATAATATTTAAAGTAAAAGAAGTTAGGAGTATCATATAAAAAAATACCATCTGGTATTGAATTTAATAAATGCTTGGTCTATTTTAATATACCAGTAATAATAGGTGGGATGAGTACACATAAATTTTTGTAAAGGAGTAGGTCCGGTAAGGGCCTATTTTGGCCTCAAATTTCAGGTTCATCTGATGAAATATTTTGGACACTTTTTAAACACTCAAGTGTCTACTTTAGTAGATTCAATTAGTTTATCTGAAAGATTTGGGCCGATTTAGTCACCAAAGACGCTCAAATGAAGGCTTAAATATTAAAAATCTCTCAATTATGCCATAATATGTCACTTTTCAGATAGTTTTTGTCAAAAATGAAAGTGGCCGCATTCGTGTTCATCCTCGACCTTTATATATGATATGTATTATCATCAAATACAACTTACATTTAAATATTAAGAATGAACACGAATGCGGCCACTTCCATTTAAGACGAAAACCGTCTTAAAATTAACTCAAATGCTAAAATTGTGAAGATTTCAGTAATTTAGCATGACTTAATGATGCTAGTACCCGATACATGTGCATTGTATTGTCAAAAACAGCCCATATTTATGTAACAGAAGTATTCTTCTTTCCAATAAATAGCTAAAAGTTTACATTTTAACAACTTTGTAAAACTGCTATATTTTGGGGCCAAAAAGGGGTCTTACTGGACCTACTCCTTTAAATTTGCTTGATCATGAATTGAGTTTTCAGTGGAAAATAATGTTAATGTTGAATGAAATTAAAAAAAATATTCCCAAATTCGGCTGTATTGTACCTTAAATGATGTTGAAACTCACATTTTTTACAAAACAAACAACCTTAACTTACTGAGTGTCATATTTATATCAAAGACTTTTTTCAAATAAAAGAAAAACCTCAATACTGTTATATCATACCTTACATCAAGTAAATCCTTTTCAAATTATGCAATTTGCCATATATAAAAATTTAAATATGTAATAGGAACGTGTTTTTAAATTATTGAAAAAGATTGGTCCAAGTTAAATAAAGTACTAGTGCAGCCAAAAACACTTTAAATTATTGTTTCAGTGTGTCAGGTTCCTTGAAACACCATCTACATGAATTTTCAACTGGGACCAATATATAAGACCCAATTTTCAGGCAGATAAGAAATTGTTTTCTGTCATACACCATTTTACATGTTTTGCCTAACATATCTGGGGTTTCCATTGTGATGCTGCAGTCAGATTTATCGTACTAATGGACTAATGGTCGTCATCATGCTCAATGACTAATTATCCTACGTATTGCTGACAGACAACTTCCTGAATATCTGACCTAAGAATGATGTAAATGACACATCAGAATAACGATAGTATGTCATCTTACACCTGTACAGCCATCAATGTCCATCTCCTGACAGGTATATTATACCTTTATATTGCGTGTGTTTACCTGTCTGATTAGTGTAGAATAAAACAATAAAAATTACAGGAAATATGGCCATTATAACTTGTTTGATAAGAATACCCTTGTCCTTAGATAAGCAAGAAATGTATTTATGCTGTATTGAATTGTCTCAAGAATATGGAAATAAGAAGGGAAATAGGTTTTACTGCAAGTTTGAGTGACTAGGACAAGTTCATTGTTGCTTTTGGAACAGATTTGATATCATTAAAGTTATTGTGCATGAGATCTAGACATGTTCCTTGTGAATGTACATGCATTGTTGTGGTTATGAGTAAAAAGTTCTGTCTGACACCAATTGATAGATTTATTAGAAGATTTCAACAGTTTTTGTATCCCTTGTTTAAAATGGTCACGGAAGGAGTACGTGATATGGGTGTAATACTTTATAGGCTGCAAGGTCAGATCAAAAAAGAAAAATGGTTATTTGCTGTTTTCCCACCAAATAAGGAAATTTTAGAAAAAAGAGAAAAGACTGGTTAGAATAGAATCAAAATAGCCAAAATGAATATGTCTTATAGGATGATATGTCTGACTATGAACTACTACCTTATAATAGGTCATTGCTCTTAACATTTTACAGCCTTATTTTGGACTTGCTTGGGCAGTTGGACTAGGGAAATAGGAGGTAAAAAATCCTGCTGAGCATGTTGGTCTGTTTGCTGCTGAATGCCAATGCACCAATTAATCAGTCCAAAGCTAAACTCCTTCTGTAATTGAATTCCTTTGTATTCTTTCATTGATACCTTGAACTATAGTCTGATATTGCTATGACATTTTACAGCCTTATTTTGGACACTCCGACTGGCTTGGGCCATTGGACTATGGAACTAGGACATAAAAAAATCGTGCTGAGCATGTTGTTCTAGTACATAGCATGGTATCATTCTGATTAGGCATGTTATATTTCCTGCTGGATGCCAATGCACCAATTAATAATTCCAAAGTTGAACTCCATTTGTAATTAAATTCCTTTGTATTGTTTTTGGATACCTTGTCATGAATTTAAATTAGTATATATATAGCATGTAAAGCCATACATCAAATTTTGTCATTATTCCAATTGTGTCTTTGATTGTCTTCTGTCAGTTTATTCCAATTAAGGTATCAATATTGTAAATAGAAAAAAATCCCTTAGCTTGCATTTTCAATACTAAATTTTTGATAGATCTAGAACATGTATAGTATATATATGTAATATCTAGAAGTAAGCCAGTTAAAACAAGTTTGCTGGAAGGTACTTGTACATGTATGTCTTACATGTCAGTTAGATAATCTAA